CCTGCAGGACGCCATCGACCACTCGGGCTTCGTCATCCTGCTCATGACCCCCAACTTCGACAGCGCGCTGAGCCTGCACCAGGTCAACCAGGCCCTGACCAGCAGCTTCACGCACCACGGCCGCCGCGACAGCGTGGTCCCCTTCCTGCCGCTTGAGAGCGCCCCCGGGCTGCAGCGCTCCGACACCTCCCGCCTGCTCTCCGGCCTGGTGTGGCTGGACGAACGCTCCAAGATCTTCTCCAGGAAGGTGGGCAACACCTTCAAGCCCCAGAGGCTGTGGGAGCGCAGGGCGCACTGGCAGAGGGAGCAGGATGTGCGGGCCCGGCTGGAGGCCAGGCAGCGCCTGGACGGCGAGAGACAGCAGGCCGAGGCCTTGCACGCCCAGCACAGCGCCTACCTCCAGAGCTACCTGGCCTGGCAGGCGCAGATGGACCGGCTCAAGGCGGACTTTGGGAGCCACTTGTCACTCGGGACTCAGGTGCCTTATCCAGCTCAGAGGCCCTTCGGGGTCCAGGGGCCCTGGGGAACCCTGCCGCCCTTCCCAGGCTGGCCTGGGTGTCCCCAGCCACCCACACTGCCCCCAGGGCACCCTGGGAGCTCCTCGCCAGCCTTCCCGCAGCCTCCAACCTTTCCACCTGCCTCCTCTGCACCCCCCCAGACGCCCCTTATTATCCACCACGCCCAGATGGTGCAGCTGGGAATAAACAACCACATGTGGAACCAGAGAGGGGCCCAGGCACCTGAGGACACGGCGCCGGAAGTGGAAAGACTGAGGGACCAGGCCTGACCCCTGGGGCCTTACCACCACCCCGGCACCAGCTGTGGTCGGGACATTCCTGCTGGACAGTGACAGGCGGTCATTTTTGCCTTTTCTTTTCTTTTCTTTTCTTTTGAATAGGGTCTTGCTGTGTATTCCAGCTGGACTTGAACTCATGGCCTCCTTGCCTCAGACTCCTGAGCTGGGCTCACAGGCGTGTACCACCAACCCCGGCTCATTGGCCGCTTTTAAGACCTGGCCCCGGAGGACTACCATTTCTCCGTGTAAAGCCCAGAGGAGCCAGGTGCGGTGGTGCACACCTGTCATCTCAGCAGTGTGGGAGGTTGAGGCAGGAGGATTCAAAGTTTGAACACTGCCTGGGTGACTTAGCGAGACCCTGTCACTAAGGGCTGGGGGTGTAGCTCCGTGTGAACGGCCTGGGCTCCAGCCCCAGCACCAAGGGGGAAAAGTGCCAAGAAAGGAAACAGACCTGTGTATGGTGTTTACGAATGCATCTAATTCTGGGTAGGGGACTTGGTAGTGGTGGGGGGAGGGAACTTTTAATTATAAATAAAAATATTTATTGAATGATCCCTCAGAGCCACAGGGCTCTGATCTGCTTTCTGCTAACGAACACGTGGCTCCCCTTGTGCTTAAAAGGGAACCAGGAAGAAATTTTGCGCTCTGATCTTATTTTATTGGGCATAACAAGATCACGTGACCTGGACCTGTGTTTGCAAGGCATGCTGGGAGATGTAGTTGTTTTGGAGGGAGTGTGTTTTACAGCAAGTCTTTTTTTTGTTGTTTTTGGTATGGGAGATTGAACTAACTCTGGACTTTGAGCTTGTGAGGCAGGGACAGCACCACTGAGCTAAATCTGTGGCCCTGTTTTGTTTTTCGAGACAGGGTCTTGCTGTGTAGTTCAGGCTGGGCCAGCCTTGAACTGACAGCGATCCTCCTGCCTCAGCCTCCTGAGTGCTGGGATTACAGGTGTGGACCACCAAGCAGCGCTTCACAGTCTCAATTGTAATGTCCCAAAGAGGAGAGAAAACAGAAATGCTTGGCAGCTATATCCTCTGCCCTTTTTGTTTTTAATTTTGAGACAGAGTCTCTCCATGTCATTAAACTGCCCTGACTGGGCTCAAACTTGCAACCGTCCTGCCTCAGCCCCCCAGATTGCTGGGAAGACAGGCAAGTGCCACCATGCCGGGCCAGCACTCACTGTGCTCCGTGCAATTTCAGGATGGGTGGGATACTGTTATTTTGAGAATAAGAAGGGTGGCTATGCTGAGCGAGCCACAGGAATGAATTTTTGAGGCTTCAATACCTAAACACACTTCTGTGCTCTGAGTGGTCCCCCAAAGGAAATGCTGTCATTCGTAGCCACTTTTCAGATGGGGAAAATGGAGGCCCAAAAAAGTGAACTGGAGCTCCCATCGTGCCCCAGCTTAGAACCAGGGTGCTCACAGTGGAAGCACTTCCAGGCGAGCATGGAAAAGGCTTCAGGAGGGCAGAGTCAGACTTTGACGCGAGCCCTGAGATCAGTGCCTTTCTGCAATGCCTCCTGTTTTCGTCCCCGACTAAAACTGAGTCACAGTCCTGGCCCCTGCAACAGCCCTGAACTGAAGCCTGGAGGGCAGAGCCTCTAAGATTCCATCCCGGGGTGTAGTGTGTGACGAGCGTTTACTGGGCAGCTACTGTGTGCCAAGATTGGCCCAGGCCCTGGTGGGGATGAAAATGGATTTCATTCACCTGCTGCCCTCAGGCTGAAGGGAAGGGGACCGGAAAAAGGGCACCAAAGAAAGGCCGTGGAGGATCCTTTGACTGGGAGTCTGCAGCCGGAGATCTCCCAGCACACACGGCCTGCCCTGAGGGTGGGGGAAGATCTCTCCGGCTCACTGAGTAGCTCAGAACCCAGCACGACCAGGGCTCAGAGCCAGTGCACAGTGAGTGCATTCTTTGGGTCAGCCACTGCCGAGCACCTGCTTTGTGTAGGGAACGACCGTGACCAGCAGGTAGAGGGGTGATCAGGGCTGCGATGGGGTCATGGAAGCCCAAAGGGACCCTTGATCAGTGTGATGCGATGAAAGGAAGATTCCAGAAGGAGCAAGTAGGCTGAGACCCCAAGGCTTAGTGTGGTGGTGTATGCCTTCCATCCCAGTGCTCAGGAGGCTGAGGCAGGAGGATCCCCACAAGTTTGAGGCCAGCCTGGTGACACCCTGTCTCAAAAAACCAAACCAGCACCAGGGATGAGGCTCAGTGGCGCTGCACCTGCCTGGCAAGCACGAGGTCCTGAGTTTGACCCCTAGGACCAAAACAACAAAAACAAATTAAAAAAAACCAAACCCAAAACAAAATCCCCAAACAAAAAGGGTTCTTTGTACTGGGGATGTGTGTGTGTGTCAAGGGCTCAGCCACCGTTCCTACTCCCTGGTGGGCCCAGCTGGCCCCAAGTCAGGGATGGAGTGGGCGTCCTTTGGAGCCAAGCAGCTTTAGAGGAAAATAGGAAGGAAAGTAACAGAATTCCCCTCTACAAACTGAAGCGGTGCAAAGCGCAATGTGTATCTCAGGAGACCGGGGGCCCGCAGCCAGGGTGGTGGGGCTGCCCCATCGGGATGAGCCCTTTGGAATTTCTCAGGGATTTTTCCCCATCTTCTCCCACCCTCCAGACCCAGAGAGGGTGGGGTTTTGTAGGACGTCACACAGCGTCCCTGTCCCAGCTCCTTAGGAGGCTGAGGCAGGAGGTCGAAAGTCCCAGCCCAACCTGGGCAACTTCGTGAGACCCTGACTCGAGATAAAAACCGAAAAGGACCTGGGACAGAGCTCAGTGCTCGGCGGCCCGGCACCCTGCTGACCGCTGCCCAGGTCACCCTGACCAAACTCGCTCTGGCCTTGGCAGGAAGTGAAAACTGAACCAGGGAGAGGAGGAAGTTCTTGCAGCCGCCGACACCCTCTGCTCTGCTGATGCAAATGCAGGTTTTGCTCCAGAGTGGAATCCACAGAGTCCCCGTGACATGTGCGAGCTGTAGGACGGGCTGCACTGGCAGGGCCAGTGGTCATTTCTGCGCCCTCCGGGCCCGGTCCCCCTGCCCCATCCGCATGGTCTCCTCGCTGCGCCTCCACCCTGTCCCAGGGCCTTTGTACAGGCTGCAGCTTCCACCTAGAGTGCTCTTCCTCCAGAAACCTCTATGGCTCCCTCCTTACCTTTCTGTGTCCAATTTAAGAGGCACTTAAATCACAGCCGTCGAATTCCCCAGGGTGCTCTGTGTCTGTGGCAGTTAGCAGTTTGGAACAAACGTAGGTTCACTCATCCATCGCCCATGCTGTCGGCCATCTGCCTTCTCTCGGAGGGCAGGGCTCCTTGTGCCTCTCTTTGCACCCCCAGTTCCTGGCACACAGCAGGCACTCAACAAACGCTGTACTTTGAGTTAATGCTCAAGTGTGTTTTTAACTTATGAATTGAACCCAGAAACTGCCCCCAGCCATTTTTTAATTTATTTTGAGGCAGGGTCTCACTAATTCACTGGGTTTCCCAGGGTGGGCTGGACTTGAAATGCTCCTGCCTCAGCCTCCCAGAGCACTAGAATAATGGGCATGCACCATCTCACAAGATGCAGCCTAGGCAAAGCTCTGGTGGCAGTGGAAGGGCTTGTGGGGCCTCTAAGAGGCCGAGGAGTGCCAGCTTGGTCTCCCGGGGCACAGGACTTCTGTCCCCCAAGGCCAGAGGAGGCAAGCGTTATGGGGGCGG